ATTCTGAGTTGCAAGGGACCCATGAGGATCCACACTAAGTCCAACTCCTGCCCCTGTACAGGAGAATCCCAAGAATCACACCATGCGCCCGAGAGCATTGTCCAAATTCTTCCTGAACTCTGGCAGGCTTGGTGCTGTGACCACTTTCCTGGGGAGCCTGTTTCAAAGTGGCACAGGGCAGCCAGCACCAATTACATGGGAAAAAACCCCAAATGCCCTCCAGATCATTCAAGTCAATGAAGGAGATGTGAAGTCAGAACATGGTGTGGAGCAACTTGACTTCTGGCCTTGCCTCTCCAATAGTATGAGAGCTGGCCTTAGCTAGTCACTTTAGTTCTGCCATGCCTTGTGGCAACACAGAGACAAAAAGGGTGATTCATGGGTGGCAGGCTGACCACGCTGGAGAAGGAGCCTTACATCCTTACAAGAGTTCCCATCCCATTGTGATTGTGTTAGGCAGAAAGAAAACACAATTACTAGGATTCAAAGAGTGCTGCAAGGGAAAACTGAAGGAATTGGAGATACACTGAAAACCTAACTAGGATGTTTCAACACTAAAACTGTGTCAAATACATAACCTGAAACAGGCAAGGAAAAATTGATAGGCAGGAATGCTTACACACTCAGAAAGCCTTCTGGAATATCCCCAGGTAGATAAATCATAGAATAGTTTGAGTTGGAAAGGATCTTTAAAGTCATCTAGTTCCAATCCCCTGCCATGGGCAGGGACAGCTTCCACTAGACCAGGTTGCTCAAAGCTCCATCCAGCATGACCTTGAACACTTCCAGGGATGGGTCATCCACACAGCTCTCTGGGTAACTGGTAGATGCATCGTTGAGAGCAGCTAAGCTACAGAACAAGCTAATCCATCAGGTGTTGGGGACTGCAGCAATAATGTAGGAGAAGGCTGAAACTTTTTTACAGAATACCCAAGGCATGACTTCTAATACTGTTTTTTTGTTTTATCATTAATGATTTTTGCATTTTTAAAATAATCTCTTTATCACTTACGCAACCTCCAATTTGAATTCAACTTCTAGTTCCTCCGTGGCCTGAAAGCAAGAAGAAGATATTAAATGAAGTAGCTACATAATGCTTTGTCCTCAGTCTAAACCAAAGTCTGATAGGCAATATTGAAGTTATTGGTTGCAATGAGTAGCCTGTGATAAATAATTCAGACTGGGTGGCCTGAATCAAAAATTCAGCCAGATGATCAAATGATTCCTTCCTCATCTCCTTCTGACTTCACAATATCACCAAAACAACCTATACTTCTTAGTGCGAAGCTGCTGCAAAAAAAACCAATTTGCAACTTCCTTTATTTTCTGAATTCCACCCTTTCCTTCCAACTATTCCTGGCACTGTCCTGCCATGACTTACTGTACTGGCTATTATCTTGGAAATTAAACATACTTTACACCCATTACTTTACCATAATAAACAGAGAACGGTGAGTGATTCAGAATTCCTGTTATGCAACCCCAAGTAAGGCAGTGTTGATGTGTACAAGCTGATTGTGAATGACCTAGTTTGGATACCAGAATTTCTCCCTGGTAGCAAGAAGTTGTATGTGAGATATTTTGCTGATCTTATCCTTAGATCTCAAAGGGAATCAAGATTATTTTTCCCATTTTATAGATGGGAAACTAAGAAACAGAGTGAATTGTCATCCATTTATAGTGGGATACACACAGGGGCAAATTCACCTTTTGGGGTGAAAGTAGACACAAGCAAAGGGGCAGGGCTTTCTGAATTATGGGAATTACTCAGGTTATGAATTACATGGTGAAAAAAAGTATGCAGATTATTCACCCTGCAAGAGCTGTATAGCCTTGGTGTTGCTCAGAGGTAGCTCGCAATTAGATCCCTCCCCTACCTACTGCACTGTTTCAGTCCTATGGTCTTTAATAATTTAAAAAATATTGCAAAGAAGAGTTCAGACTCTCAAATTTATACTTTTTAATCACATTTTTGTGGTTATAATTTGAATGGCAATTAATGCACTCATTACTGGGATAAGTAATCCATGGCAGGTTCAGAAAGATTTTGAGACTGTTCTGTAACTCTCCACTAGTTTCCCTGTTGCTTTAGTTGCTTAGTTGCACTCACATTTGGGCTAGGTTTGAAGCACAGGATCACTGTTCTTTCAAGTGGAAGTTTAGCAGTATCAAAGAGAGCACAGAGGAGATGGTCATCTGGAGTAGCAAAATCCTCATCATACACCGTGAGCTCCAGCACATTCTGGAAAAAGAGGGAGAAGAATTTGTTATTGTTTCTCAGGCTGGACATCATTAGCTCCAGGCAAAAAGTATTGCCGAGGATAAGCTTGAGAAGAAAAGCTTAGAAATTAAACATTATCCCCCTTTAGAAAAACATACTTGAACTGCATATTAATTCTTGTCTAGTTCATTTTAATTGCTGTAATGAAATACATTGGCTATACCTATACAACAGCTTGGGTAACTCCCAGATTCTATATCCATCTGGCACTGACCTGTCTCTTGTTTCCTTAAAACTTCAAAACTGAGCTTGCTTTCTGGCCCTCCTACATAGCACCATTGAACAGGCACAGGAATGCTGTCATCTCTGCTGTTAAATGCTTGGAGCAGCAGATTGTGTGCCATCTCTTAAACAATTCCTGGGCATGGTTCAGGAGATACATACATGAAATCTTCAGGCTGCTTCAAGCAGACAACTTTGGTTCCTCACCTTGACCTGACTCTGGATTCTGAAGTAGAAGGTTTCGTTCCACACTGGATTGTCAGAGTTTCTCACAGTTTTCGTGCGTGACCTTTCACACGTTGCAGTCGGCAGCCACAAGGACACGTAGCAATCAGCCTGGCTTACTGGGCAGGGGAGAGGCAAAACAGTTGCTAATTGGCAAAGGCAGCAGAGCTACAGGACACGGGAGAGGTTACTGCAGCAACTGGCACCAAAAACAAGCATAAGTTATTTAAAGATAGAAAAGTCTGATGCAATGTAACTTTCCAGGATTCCCTTCTGAGAGGGAAAAAGCACTGACCACAAGATGACCTAGAAGAGGAGGTGGCTTCTGTTCTTCCTTGTATGAGTTACACACAGCACTGATATTGTGCATTAAAAAAAAACACTGAGAATTTTTTCTTCTAGTCAGCCACCTCAGTTTCTCAGCCAACAAGCTTTCCTGTGCTCATGTGTGCATGCACACATACACTCTCACCCTATGCTGCTCTCTGATAAGAGGGGTTGGAACCTTCCTCCACTTTTTAAGAACAACTGTAAAAGTTCTTCATCTCTGCCTTGCCCTCAGTGATGTGCTTTGTGAGGATTTGTGAAATGAGCTGCAGAACTACGCCTGCTGTATGTGATGGCAGAGGCTTTCTCCAAAAGGAGCTCACTGAATTAGACATTGGAATTTAACTAACCACCACCTACAGGAAGAAGGGGGACCAAGTCTCTCTCCCAAAAGTCACCAGAAAGTTAGTGAAAGATTTTACATCCTTTTTCTCACCTAAATTAAGGTATATCTCAAACAGCTACAGACAAAAATGCCATTTACTGTGTTTCTTCTTGGAGGTTATGCAAGGTACTTCGGCACCTTGAAAGCCTCCCTGATGCAGTTCTCAACAAAAAAATTATCAGCTATTATGTAATGGTAACTATCTTTGAGAATTATGTCCTGTGATGTGAGACTTTTGAGAGAGACGTGATGGCAGCAGTAAATGGAGAAGATCCTTCAGCAGCAGGTAAGGACTCTGCAGGCAGAGCAGGGAACAGGAGCTTGTACACTGACCTGTGGGGAAAAGCAAAATCTTGCCTGTCTGCAACAAGCATTTTTTCTCTTCTTCTTCTCCTTCCTTCTCCACCAAGTTTTGCCCCATGTCACTCTACAGCTACTGACTCTCTCAAACTGGTTGGAGGCTGCATTTTATGCTGTTGAAAGTGTTCAAGAAGCCTTGCTGCTTCCCTGTCCAAGTGAGAGGGAAAAAAATCTGGAACTGCTTCAAAAATTATATATGAATTGTGATAGGTCAGTAGACAGCTCGATCAGTTTTCAATTTTTTAACATTACAATGCAGAAACAACAACAACAAAGTTGAATTCTGTCAATTGTTTTTTCTAAAAAAAGCTGTTGAGAAATTAGCATATTCCTATTGAATAAAAAAATAATTCCTCCACTGGAGAAGTTTGTTTGGAAAATATTGAGTAGGCCCTGGCCTTCTGCCTGTCTTGCTCGACTTCACATTTCATATCTTAGTTTGGCTTTGAAAATGAGATTCTGACAGCAATTTCACTGTACTTGTCTAGAGTCATTACATCTGCTTTAATTCTACCTTCCCACTATTCTTGTTTCTTAGCCTCCTTGTGAAAAATTACTCCTTATTTGCCTTCTTTGCTTCTTCTGTTTTGTAGCAAGAGCTTCCATGTCCTCCTCAATAATTTCACTTTCACACCTAAGGACTGTAGACTCTTCAGTCCCTCTGGATGTAAAAGTTGTTTCAAGTTATTCTGTTTCCTCAACTGTTTTTTTTTTTAATTTTAATCTAGGAAATTCCATGCAGACAATAATGCTTTGAAGAATTTTGAAATTGCAAAAATATTTATTTGAATATATTTGGATAATCTAGAAGTAATGCTACTGATTTTAAAATGCGTTAAAGGTGATTTTTTGTAACTACTATATGACTTTGGCTTTATCACTTCAGATCAATGACAGATGGCTGTTTGGCTGGCAAGCACTTTATTCTGCTGATGTGATTCATCATTCCTGTATATCTTAACTGTACTTTGAGATACAAAGCATATCAAGCAATCCTTAATCAAGCAATCCTTAATTATATAAGTAGATGCAGCCAAACTAGTCAGCTGTGTATTTAATGCAAAATGTTGCCTCAGTTCTGCTTGCACAATCTGTTTCTACAACCTCATTATTTGCCTTGTTGCCTGACACACAGAAGATCTGAGATGAGTCCCTGATGAGACCTTTTTGTGTTCTTGCTTCACCACACGTGTGCCACAGCCATGGACCAGGAGGGAGGCGCAGAGCGTGCAGCCCAGTGATGTGACCCAGGATACAGCTGTTGTCTGCCTCACTCAGAGCTGTGACACAGCCAAGCCCTCTGATACATCTTCCAGAAAAACATGTGACAACCACAAGGTAAGACAGGAGTGGTACTGCATGGTAAATCCAGATCTTTCTCCCTCAGAAAATCTTTGCTGACTCTTTGTGTGCAAGACATTATAGAGTCAATCAGTGCTGCTCACAGCAAAACAGGAGAATCAAGAGACTCGTGAGGGTTACGCTCAAACTCAAGCCAAGCTCGCGCTAAAACTAATTTCAGCATCCTTTCACATAGCTCTATTTTTTACTCAAAGAAAACAAACTGTTAACTTGTCTATTTTGTGTGGGACACCTCTCCACAGCACATATGTGGATAGTCCATGTTCTTTTACAAAACAGTGGTGTTTTCCTTTCCAACTTACTTCCTTCCCACCACTTTCCTGCCACATGACTCACACTCTTGCTCAACTGCAAGTCTGCTGCAGAAGCCTTAGAAAGGACCAAGCATCCAGCCCTCAGTTAGTATGTTTTTTTAACTGTCCTCAGGGTAATTAATGATGGCATTAGCCTGCTCGTAATGATCATAAAAAGTTTCTCCCTGTTCAATTCCTCTTTGTCAGAATCAAGACTGAGGATGTTGAAAAGGTTTGCTCCTCCCAGCCACATTTCCCAAGGTGCTGCAACCCATCAGCAGAATTACCCCTTGTTTTTAAAAACATGGAATGGAGTCTTTCATCTACCTCTGTCAGAAACTCTCCTTTCTTTGACAGAAAGTATTTATTCCCAAAAGCGCATTCAAGTCTTGAAACCAGTCAGAAAGCACAGGGAGAACAATGAAACAGCAGCAAGGACTGGCCTTGTTTATAATAATTAGTTTACATAAACACTGGGCTATTTCAGAAACACTAAGAAAAGGTTGTTACAAAATTATAAAAGATATAATTTGCCTGTTTCTTGAGTTACCACTAAGAATGGAGATACTTACAGGCATCCACCCGCTGGAGATTTCTCATCCGGATGATCCTTACAGTCAACAGGTAGCAAGGAGAGGATTCTATCTAGAGAGGAACAGTAAAAAGGGGGTCCGAATAAGCCTTTGGTGGGAAAAAATTTCAAATGTGCAAACTAACTGGGTGCCACAAAGCACAAATACAATTGGTAAAACTTGGGCCAATTATCTCACTATTTTGCAGAATGAATCTTCTGCTGTTAAAAATGTCTTAACATTTTATATATTTCACTGTCTTTTTGCTTTGTTACTCTGAGGTTCCAGATTGCTCATCAGAGCAGAAAAGACTCTGAATTCCTAAAAGGAATAAATCCCTGACAATTTACACAGCCTGTGAGATGCTTGCAAAACCTTTCACTCTGAAATTGCTGAGTCTAGTCTACAACATAACTACAGTCCCTTGAACAGATTAAATTCACTGGTGGGCACCATTATGAAGTTGTCAAAATGCCATCAATCTTAATCAGAGTTACAGTCAATCCCCCTAGTAACCACCCATATGGTCCCATAGCATTGAAAATAAAATGCTGTGGAGAATATCTGTTGTTGTGGACTCCCATGGGACAAAACCAAAGTACCACTTTTTAAGAGATGTTTTTCTGCTTCAGAAACATTGATTTACTGCAATTTACACTTGCACAAGAAAAAGAGAAATAGTAATGTGAGCTTTTGTAAACCACAACTATGAGATAAGCCAATGGCTACAAATTGTTACCTAAATCTTTAGGATCCAAAGATTTAGATATGGGCTGCTTTTGGAGAAAAATAAAACATACAACTGTCCTCCAAAAAAAACATAAAGACTGAAAGTGCTAAACTTCCTTTGTTCCCTTTAAATATATTTGCCTTAATCTTCTATAAAACAAGTCTCTCCAGCTTTTGTGGCTGCAGAGACCTCTTCCTATTTATTATTAGAAGATAAATGTGAGTTCCTTCTTCTAAGCAACACAATTTCCTGCTGGCTCATTCCATAAACCTGTCTCTGGCTCAGAGCTATATGCAAAAGGTTATTTTGACCAAGCCAATAAATAAATCAGCATTTCCTGTGGCTGTGACACATGGTTATTTCCTCACACTCCTAGAAACATTTCCATCTGCATAAGTGGTTAAAGCAAAGCCCCACAAATCATTCTTTTTGACAATTTCTATTTTTATAAACAGGTTTCCTGTCATTTAGCAGCATCCTTCTATTTCTATAGCACTTCAGAGACTTCCTATAACCATTATAAACAACCAGACAAAATAGAAGTTAAGACAGAAACTGGAAGAACCTCACTCAAACCATTTTTTTTTTTTCCTCAAGAGAACAGAGAAAAAGGGTCTTATTTACAGATGGAAAGGTAATTATGCCTCTTTCATCACAACAAATTACTTTTCCAATATGCAACTGGAATCCTCTATTCTTTCCTCTAACATATCATGTTATGTTAAAATCTTTTTACAGAGTTCTTAAAAACCATTGCTGCTTCCACCCCTCTTATATGTGTCTCAAGAAATTGATGACTTTTTTCTTTTTTTAGTGCTTCTTCTTGAAATTCAACCAACAAAATCTATTTACCTTCTATTTTAATCGTTCTCAAAAGAGAAAAATCCTTACAGAAGCTGCAAAATTTGCAGACAGCTGGTGGAAGGATATGTCCTCAGAGCTACCTCGTGCAAAGACTCATTCAGATTTTAGAAACAGTATTATCCATGTTAATACAGTTCTACACCCTGTTAATTTACCCTTCTTCTCAGCTGGGTAATGAGCAAAGTGGATCACCATACTCACATGTTAGGAATGAGCTTAGGCACCTCAGCATATGCCCTAGAAGGCAGAAACTCATTGTTCCTTAGGTTCTGCATAAACATGGAGGAAATTGTAGCAGGCATTTATCTCCAAAGATTGTGTAAGGTGGTGCCAGCTCCTGGATCAGCTCTGGCAACACTTCCACTGACAAGCAGCATTGCTTGAGTGATAACCAATGAATTCATTATTTGCAAAGCCATTTGTGATTCTTAGATAGGAGAAAAAACTTAGGTTGGGTTTTTTCTTTTAAAGAATATTAGATGGTTTCTGCCATCTGACCGCCTTCTTCCTGATTCCCATGCAATGACTTTCTAACATGTTGGACAGATTTTCCCTATCTGGCATGGGGAAATCAATTCTTAGAGACACAGGATTCACAAAAGGATTTACTAAAATGTTCCTGAAAAAAACCCAAAAAATCAGTGGCTTCCAGAAGCTGCAGTAATCAGGACCTATGCTTGCTCTAGGGGAGAGGCAGATGCCACCAGGCAGCTCCCCGAGGAAAGGCAGGAGCCAGGCGTCAGTCCTGACAGCCCCAGCAACAGCCAGTGGTGGTAGCAAGGACAAGAGGGAGGGTACAATGCACCCGGGGATCAGGCCTTGCCAGTTCTTCTGCTCTCAGGAGGATTTGTCATTTTAATTAATTCCGGTGACATCTTAAACAAAAGAAATGTATTTAAATAGCAGCTGGGACAACTATAACATGATGTACCAGGGTCTAGTTATAGAGACAAAGAAAATAGCAGTCACGCATGTATAAAACAAAAGACAGAGGTTCTGTTATTCTGTACACAGAATAATACACCTATTATGATATCTTTACCAGAAAAAAAAAAAAAAAAGCTGCTGCTTTTTAATGAGGTTCCATATACAGAGAGGTTTCCACCACAGCAAATTGCCAACTTGTCAGCTTGTCTTCAGTTTAGTGTTTCCCAACTCATGCTCTTGTGTGTGTAATATGCAGTTTAGCCCTCTGAGGTGCCACTGCATGAGTAGGCTGTACAGTGCTAGTTTCTCTGAAGTCCCAGGGAAATGAAGTTTTACTGGGATTCTCCAAACAGCAGCTCCATCTAATGTAAAACAGACCTCATAGTCTCTTCTTCTGATTTTACAGCTCTTCCCATAAAAAAGAGCAACATGGTATGATACTTGGCACTAAGCTGTTACATTGGTATAAGTCAGGGATTCCTCTGTCATGTGAATGATACCCACTTTCTCCCAGCTGAGGAGTAAGAATTTGAAAACAGAAATTTCTCTGTCAGGAGCACTCTGGTGATGCAGGCTGCCTGCATTCCTGGAACATTTGTGCCTCTGCAGCCTCTTTAAAGTCACGCTTATATTCAGATGTAGGTATGTGTGGCATGCATCCATCTCAAGAAGCACTGCTGTAAATTACTCCACTAGTTTAGCTGTGTAACACATCCTGTCATAAGTGGCTGTGGAGCTCTAAAATAGCAGGACTCCCTAATGAGCCAAGAGTCCATGAGACCAGAGGGTGAGTCTACTTCTGTACCTTTTTCTTTTTTTTTTTTTTTAAACTTGCTTTTCTCTCAGTAGCTTTCTTTCTTCAGCCTTTAGGCTTCTTCATCTAACAGACTCTGCCAGCATGGGCGGCTGCTAGCTACATCTTTCCAGCTTGTGATATCAATAGTATGAACATTCAGCCCTTCACTTGCTGTAGATTACCCCAGTCAAACAATTCCACAAGAGTAGAGTCAAATGTGTGCTGGGTGAATGCTTTTAAGGTTTTTCTTTTAGTGTTGGGTGCTTGGTTTAGCATAGATAGCAGAATATTGTAGCTGCCTTCCCAAAACAGAGACCAGTCATCCAACAACACTGAGCCAGAGAACTTACTTTTGAATCTTCATGAGCAGTCAACACATCCTCAGACTTGACTGCTCCTCTTTTTAGATTGATATTTATTCCAAAGCAGTTATAAACTCACAGAAGAATAATGCAGAGAGCCTGAAATTCACATTCAGTTTTTGTGTTTGAAAACTGTATCATCATCAATAAGCAGGTATCCTCCTCCCAGATATTCAGCTGCTGATTTTCTACATGAAATGAGGAATGTGTTTCACCTGGTCTCAGAGAGTAGGTGGTCTTTCTCTTGCTAGGTGCAAAACTGTGATGAGGAAGCAAAGAGAACCATGTGCAACAGTGTGCTGGTATTATTACCTATTCCAGTGCAATTGCACTACATACTATTCCACAAACCATCCTGCAAAGATCAGACAAGATTTAAAATACCCCTAGCACAATCAATTTACTTTTACAATGGCTGAAAAAGCCATTTCTACACACCAACCTGAAAAAAGTGTGTCATCTATGGAACTCACAGAAAAAACCTTCCTCTCTATCCACACATTTTTCCTGCAATCACCCAGTAATAATTCCTCTATGTGTTTCTGTGTCATCTACTAGCTCAGCAGCCTTTCCTGACAAAGATCAGTTCCTTGCCTTGTTAAGGTATTCCCGAATTCCTGGCTCAGAGAAGCATTCTGCTGAGATGAAATCACTCCCAGGATGTTGCAGGGCACTCCTTTCTTCATCTCCAAGTGCTAATTTAACTAGATGGTAGCCAGAGACCAAATCATTCCTTGCTGATGGTGCATCTAGAGCTGGTGGTGTATGAAAGTCTATCTTGAGCTGTCTGAAAGCCAGGTCTCCTTCAAGAGTGTGTGTGAGTTTTTTACAGCTGCAGTCAGGATGCTTCAGGCTGTGAACATCACTCACCAATCCCTGCCCCGGCTTGCTGCAGCCATGGGATGCTGTGGGATGTGCTGGGATGCCCCGTGGCAGGCTGCTGCTCTTGGCCACCTCTCTGAAGTTCTTCCTCATTCCTGACAAAATCAGGCTCCACGATGGAAAAGATGCTCTAATTGCTTCCTTCCTTCACCTCCTCCAGGCTGGGGAGGGCACCTCAGCTGAGGGCTATGGGGCTGTGCGTGGGCAGGCAGGTGATGCTGATGATCACTGCTGCCACAGCACTGCTTTTCACCAGCTGTGTGTTTCATGGGCTTTACTAGTAACATTTCTTCTTCTTCTATCAGACCACCTTTTCATCAGGAGTAGCAGAAGTCTTGGTTGTATACCAATGAACTTAAAATGCCAAAACCCAGATGGAAAAGCTCCTTTCAGGCATACAGCCACAGTAACCCTGGTTCCAGCAGGGAAAATTTTTCTACACCCACAGGAGCATGACAGGTATGTGCAAGGTCATAAGAATTGTATCCTTCAGATGATTGCTTCTTCATATATATATATCCATCATTGTACTCAGAAAACTTTGGAGGAATGAGACTATGCATATTATACTGTGCTTGAAAGACATTTCCAAAAACAAAAGCTTCAAATACCGATCAACATAAGATGGATACTCTCACTGCACAGTGATCCCATAAATGCAGACATGTATAATTACATTTAATAAATAAAAACATTATTTATTATTTCTCTTCCTTGTTATATAAATCTGCAGAGATGTTTTATTTGATTGATAACTCAGGCTAATTGCATAGTCCTGTTAATATTACCTTCACCTTTTAGTGTTTGCACATGTTTAACAATCAGACAGACTCCTTCAGATTTTGAAAAATAGGTCTATTTGAAATCTCCAACCGTTCAACTGAATGTTCAAAATTATTTCCATATGTAAAACTGTATCCAGAGCAATAGGATAGTAGTCCACTCATAAAAAAACTCAGTGCCTTTTTATAGCGCCCTGCCCTCCCTAACTAGAACAAATATGACAGAAAGAAACTAGGCTGAGCATGAACCATTTGAGGGTTGAGACTCTTTACACCTAATTCCAGATAGCTGTAAAATTAGTGTTTATGTCTAACAGCTGTTTAACATTTCTGGATTCTCATCCTAAGGTAGACATTACCACAGGACATGCATCACACTCTGAAAATCTCTCTTTCTGACTACTGTTCTCAAGGATATTTATAGGGCTATCTCAGGTACAGATGTTTTGCACTTTTGCATATTGTCAAATAGGGATTAGACAAGCCATATTTCAAAGTTTTGAGCTGATGGGAAGTGGCCCCATTTGATTCAGTGAGGTTCATTTTTGAAGTGGGAAGAGTGCTGGAACGTGTAATTTCAGCAGTCTGTATTTTAGGCAACCCCATGCCAACGCTTCGGGGGGCAGAGGAGGCACCTGGGCTCAGCCCAGCTTCTGCAGCTGAGCAGAGCTGCTGCTGGAGCCATGCTGCTGCAAGCACTGTGGGGCTGGGGGGGCTCAGGAGCAGACTCCTGCCTTTCCAGTGGATGCTGAGCCTGGGGCTGGAGCTGCTCCTGACAGCAGGCTCTGGCCCCTGCGGGAGTCCAGTCCATCCCATGCCAGGGAGCCTGGCCCCAGCCCTCCTGCCTGCCTCAGCTCCTGTTCACATTACCGAGCCCAACCAGAAGCAGATGTCACGTCTCGCTCTGCAGTGTGGCAGCTCCTCACCCTTCCCATGATCTGGGAGAGCTGCTTCCACCTTCCAAAACCCAACAGGAACCAGAGCTCCTGTTTTGCACAAGGGTCAGAGCTTAACCTGTGTTAAGCTCTTGTGTTAAGCCCTGTGTTAACCTGTGTTAAGCCCTCTTGTGTTTAAGGGCTGCAGCTGTCCCAGCTGCACAACCCTGAAAGAACAAGAAGCCCACGTCTGGCAGGGAAATGAGGTATGACTTGACTTGAGATATGATACATCTTAGCCTTATTAAAACATGTCTCATGGTGAATTTAGAACCATGCATCCAATTGTTCCCCTCCCCTTCCTTCACATGCATTATTATATGAAACCTGCTGCAATCCTTAAATATTTTAGTACAAACACTAATGTCTGAAATACCAGAGCTGGCTCTGCCTGTTACTGTAGCATGGGCCTAAGTACCAGCCAAGGCCCAAATAATACAGATTTCTTAATGCAGATAAAAATCAGCACGTTGGTGTAAAGATATATGCAGTTGCTGGCAAATGCTGCCAAGAGGTTTCTAACAGACAATGCCTCTGAGCAGGCAGAGACCCTCATGTTTAAGTCTTCTGGTAGTTTCAGTGATGAAAAATTAATATTTGAGAAAAAATTAGGAGGACAGAAAAATATATATGCATCCTTTACATGAATGAATGATTGTTGGTGTAGCCAAATAATGATCATACAAGTGCATAGGCTGAAGTGTGGAATTGTGAACACATTTGAAAAAAGTACCTCTGTAACCACATGCAAAAGCAACTCAGTCCATCACCAACGCATTGTCATGAATTTTGTAATTTTATCATGTAAAAAGTAATCCTTCAGTGTGAGACAGTGATCTAGTGGTCTAGAAGAAGGTTATGGATATATCAGACGATTCTTTTGGTCTGCTACTGTCACATCCGTCCCCTTAAATTTCATGACTCTTAAATGTCATTGATCTAAGTCTGTATCCTGAGCACACAATGGAAAAACAAACACATCACTGTGTGGGATTAAGAAATGGAGACAAGAAGTTACTTGTCATGTGTATAATTATCCTAAGTAATTATAACCCAGGAGTTCAAATCTTCTTTCTTTCTCTCATTGTGATTTAAAGTTCCTGACCCCTTGTAAGGAACAGATATTATACCAAAAATTGATCAATAAATTTTTCCACCTGTTTTTACTATCTACAGAATTCCTCATACCAGACATGGTCCAGAATATTAGCATCTTCCCAGGCTGGAGATACGAGACATTGTAACTTAAATATTTGCAAGATGAAATGCCACAAAGACCTTAGACTTATTATATAATATATTCTGTGAAAATACAGTATAATCTTTTAACACCACTATTTTTTTAAGTAATAATCCTAATACTGAGAAAACAAAATACCTAAAATTTGAAGAGTGCATGTGAAAAAACAAAAAATTCAGTGAATATGGATAAGAATTTGTCTAAATTTGTGAGCATTCAAACTGCAGCAGAACTACACAGCTTATCACAAAGCTCACCTGTCTGCCTGTTCACAGTATGATTTCAACTTTCAGACTTTTCAGTTTCATTTTGCCTCAGTAGAACTTGTCGGCATAGAGTATACTGCAAATTTCCACAGATTTATCTGCCTCAGAAGCAAACACTTCATGGGACAAAATTGTTATATGAATCACTCAGACTTCTCCATTGACAGATGGGAAATAATGCCCAGACTCACCACACAATACCAGAATGAAAACTCCCATCAAAACCAGTAATTTCTAACAAAAAATAAATCTTTGACTGACACTCATGCCCCAGAAATAGCCCTAGCATATTCAAGCATTACTCCTTTTACAGAATCCCACTAGAGTTTCTTTCCTGATGGAGCACAGTAGTTGTGAAAGATCAGGGTTCAATAATCCAGGACTCTCTCATAAATTGCAAGGATGGAGATCGTGCTACCAAATCCATTGCAGCAGAACTGCAAGGTCTCGCTGTTACTTTTGGCCCTTTAATTTACAAAAGGTATTGTGGAACAGAAAGGTCACCAGTGGATTTCTTGTACAAGTAAGTGAGACATTAAAATACTAAATATTCAGCCTGTTCCAAAGAAAACATAACAAGGAATTAAATTATGGAAACTGAGCCACCTGGTCCACTTAAAGGTGTCTCTGCTCATCGCAGGAATTTGGAACAAGGTGGCCTTTAAAGGTGCCTTCCAGCCCAAACCATTCTATGTTCTATGAAAATTATAAACATAAAAGGAATAAAATTATTCAAGCAATAAATTTAGGGGCTCCCCCTGTAACACTCAAACTGCTGCCATCATTCTTTATCCTGCTGCCACCTGAGCCATCTCCCCTTTTGAGAAAAACAAAACCCTTAGCACTCTTTGGTTCTTGTTCTTAATACCTTGAAATCACCTTGGTCTTCCCCAGTACCGTCGTCTTTCCTTTTTTGCCATTCATCATCTCCCAAGGAACCGAGGCCTGAGTTTCCATCCTGAAGAAAGGAAGAAAGAAACAATGAATGATAATGTTTAAACAACAGCAGCAGCATTATCAGGATAGATAATTAATTTCTACTTGCAACAATTTATGATGAAACCTCGATTAGAAGGGCTGTTGGTTACACCCAGCTGCGTTACCGCACTCGGATTAATGAACAAACCACCACATGTTTTGGTGCACACTGGCACAAAATCCATGTCAGGGGTACCCTTTCAATGAGAAAATGAAGGAAGACCATCACAGCTGTAAGGTACCTAGAAGGTGTCTCTATCCAGTAAAAAAGGTTTTGCTTTATGTTTTGAATGTGATCTTTTGGCAATCTGCTCTTACCGATATAAAACCTCAGTTTAAAATACCGCATAACATCATCTGTGATTTTGAACACAGAATGTGATGCACTGCAGTTTGCAGTTGCAAAATTTTAAATCTAATGTTTCAATCTTTTTCAGGAAACAGAAGTTCCAAAATACTTCTACAGTGTAGGGTGCCCCCTTTTGAAGCACTTCATAGAGCACCATTAAAGGATTCTACAGTTTCTACAAAAAAATGTTGAAGATGTTCCGCTTCTAAGTCCAAAGCTCTTCCTGAAGTGATGTGCCTTCATCCAGACAGGGAGCACATAGAACAGTGCATAATGTACTGCATTTAAAACTAAATGCAAATCTTGAAACAATGCAAAGCATGCAAGCAAAATTTTAAAAATTCAGAACCAAAAAGGGAATGTGTAAGTGAAACTGAATTCTCTATTCCTGGTCACTATCCTGTCCTTAACGCATTTTCAACAATAAAAAAAAGGGTTTGACACATTATTATACATGCCAAAATCTTGCTATTTATATAGAAATATGAAATATTTAATAAAAGTAGCATTTAATTGCAGAAGAAAAAAAGCTGACAATTCAATGCCCTGAAGAAAGTTTCTCCCCCTGTTCATTTTTTCCCCTTTCTTATCTTTTTCTGTCCCCTACTACTCTGACTTCTCTCATTTTGTATATGAAGATAAGATCTTTGGCTCCAGTGGATTCAGAAGGAGTTTTTCCACTGACAGCCTTGAAGAGAAAATTTCACCTTAATGCTGTATAGTTCCATCAGACAGCAAATTTGCACACTAGCTTGAATACAAACACACTCACAAAGCAGGACTTTGTTTTCTGTCAAATGCAGAGGAAATTAAGTTAAACTTTAAAGCTGTTTTCTTACCTCTAGTGCATTTGATGGTATCATGGTCTTGCCTTTCATGTAGAAGAGTTCTTCTGGCAACTCCATGGGCTGCAATTCTTGAGACATATTTGCAGAATATACTTCTGGCTCCTCCATGGGCAGGCATCCTTTAGACATGTTTTCAGGATATAGTCCTGGCCCCTCCATGGTCAAGAATCCTTTAGACATGTTGTCAGGATACAGTCCTGGCTCCTCCATGGGCAGAAATCCTTTAGAGATGTTTTCAGGATATAGTCCTGGCTCCTCCATGGGCAGGAACCCTTTAGACATGTTTTCAGGATCTACTGCTGGCACCTCCACAGGCAGCAATTCCAGAGATAAATTTTCAGGCTCTACTCCTGGCACCTCTGTGGGCAGCGGCTCTAGAGACACATTTTCAGGATTTACTCCTGGCACCTCTGTGGGCAGTGGTTCTAGAGACATGTTTTCAGTATCTGCTCCTGGTACCTCCACTGGCAGCACTTCCCAAGACATGTTTGCAGGATGTACTCCTGTGGGAGTCAATGACTTGTTATTTTATAAAATTACCTGAGGCCCCACCCATCTCATCCAAGTAAAGGACTCCCCTCCCACTGCGAAGGCAGTGGAGCACCAAGGGTAGAGTGCTCCAGGGAAGGACCTTGCAGCGCCAGCGCCACAGCCAAAAGGAATGTGGTGCCTTCCTCTGGCTGGGAACCTCTCCCAGCCTGCACCTGCCCCACGGGTCCTGCCCTGCTGCCGCCCTTCTCTGTGTGTGGAGGGTGCTGCCACTGAGGCCTGCTCCTTCAAACCCCTGCCCTGAGCAAGGACACCTCCTGTGGGGGAACTGGACCCTGAAAAAGGCCTGTGCATCTGAATGAGTGACAGTGACTTTCCTGCATGCTGGCACAGTCCTGTGCACTTTGGTGAATGCCTCCCCACAGGTGGGGGGACCTGAGCCCAGTGCCTGCAGAGGGGCAGAGCCCTGCAGATGGCCATCCCCAGACCACTGCATGGGCATGCAGCTCCCAGCTCCTCCTGGGCTGCTCCTGTTCCCTATTCCCAGGGGAGAGAGGTCGTGGTGTGGGTGCAGGGCTGGGGCTTCATTTTGCAGAGGTGAGCTGAAAGTGGAGGAGGTGATTGACAGGCTGGGAGCAGCAGCACCAGGGTGTGACAGGACAGCAGGGGAGAAGGACAGAGACTTCCAGGGGGTAGCAGAAGTCTTGAAGTCAGTGCCTATGGCTCCAGGCATGACCCAGGACCACTGCTGCACCCAGCAGTTCCTTAAATATAGCAAAAAAGGCACGAGGAAATATCTAATAGCTGTGCAAAGCAAGTAAGAGTTATGATTTTATACATTTTCCAGAGAAAGGCAGTTGAACTTTAAATGTCAACTGTGGGAAACTCATCCCAAGATGAATGCAGTATAGGATCCAGTGGTTAAGTTTTATCACTTTTATTTTACAGAGATTTGTTCAACCAAAGAACATGAACAAAAGAGCAGATGAACATCTCCAGGCTTACCCAATGGAAATTACCATCTTCAACACAGAAAAACAAATGAATAACAAACTAGAAGCTCCAGTAACAGTAGGCTTTGTCATAGCATCTGCATTCCCAGCATGAAAAGTAGCTCTGGCCACACTGGAAGTACAAGAGCATCTTTTGGCCTCAGGTCACAGACACTCGGAGCTGCATCCTGGAGAACTCCTTTTGCAGCTTAATTTAGAGAACAACAGTAATTCGGGGATTTTTTTTTTTTTTTTGTGTTTGTTGGTTTTTGTTTGTTTATTTGGGGTATTTTGTTGCTCTTGTTTTGGTGGTTTTTTTGTTTGGTTTGGTTTTCTGTTGTTTTGGGTTTTTTTCCTTTAAATCTGGTCTGAAAAGAAGACCTGGTTGACCTTGGAAAACCTGCTATGTGATACTAAAAAGACCAGGATACTTCTCATTAGAGCACAACTTTCCCAAGGCTGGTTAGTTCAGAGAACCATTAGCATAACTGAGGATAAGTGATAGAAATCCCTCTAAAGTTGGTGAATCTTAAGAAAGCTGAGATTCTCTGTCCTCAAGAAAGCCTGTGGACAAGAAATTTAGATCCTATATACAGACTTCCATGTCTGCAGAGTGAATTCCCCATTACAGGCACACCTGGCTATCTATAATAATCTGGACAGCCTTCAGCAAAATCAAGGTACTCTGCTCCCATCTGAGTCACTCCACAGGGAGCAACATAAATAAAGAAAACTGCAAGGTTCTCATTAACAACTGAACTAGTGCCATCTCATTTAAAATCTGAATGTTCAAAGCTGGATGGTTTTCAACTTGGAGAATGAAAAACAGATGCTTCAAGTGGAAATATTTCATGTGTTTACATTGCATATTTCAGTAATTTAAGGATAGATGAAGGAAAATAACCCACCTGTTTCAAAGCTCTAAATGTAGTTGCCCTGGCAGCAAATTGCACGCTACTCCTTTAGCATAGTGATATTAGTCTTATCTGTTTATCACACAATGTGCCAAAAGCAGCACAACCTTGTACTTCCTCCACTGCTTAGGTTTCTTACTCACCCTGCAACGCAGTTTGCAGAAGCATCACTCACCTGGCAAAGGAACCTGTATTATCTCTGACTGCAGAGACAAGCTGTGGAGAAATGGATCTACATGACAAAATTTTCAACAAGTTCAAATGTAGCTTTGCAGTTCCTTTTAATCACAGTCTTGGACTGGACGCAAACCACAGACAGCCAGTGCCCTCCTAAATGCCTTGCAACAATATATGCTTGCCTAGCCTCGAACAGGCCAGGCAAAATGAGCCTGAGATTATTCTAACAAGGCAGAAGCAGGACTGGCTGTGACCACCTCACTACGCTCAGACATAAAAATACTTCTATGCAAAAAACCAGCCCTGGAGAGCAGAGTCAGATGGGAGTTCTGGCTCAGCTGCATGCTCTTCCTGCAGGAGAGCAGTGGTGTCTTAGGTCATCACTCTTGCAGTTAGTGAAGGAAGGAGATTTGGAGCAAAAGAGAAAACTCATGGGAGACAGGGGCTGTTTGTTATCTTACCCCTGCAAAAGGTAAAAATGAATCTTCTGGGAAATAAATTTTAAACTAAAAAGTTTAAAAGTACTAGAATGTATTCTTGTTAAGCTCATAACAGAGAAAAGTATATATCCATTGCACAGATGCATCAGCATTTGTATGCATCTAGCATATATAACTAGAACAAACCACTGATACTGAGAGGTATTCCTTTCCCAGTAGGGAGGCTACCATCATTAGTGATTTTGTACATCTCTGCACTCACAGTTAAACACCTGTGTACTTTTCTTTCGTATTACAGTTACTGATGCATTGGATAAAGCCCAAAACTTACCATACCAGTTTTTGAGCTGCCTAATTGACGTGTAAATTTATACTCTCTTTTATCTCTCTCAGATTTTATGCATGTTACAAATGCACAGTCCTCAGTGGTTACCTGTAAAGTGAGAAAGTCCTCTGTGCCTGGAGTTCTCTCACTTTGGGATGTTTTTCTTTACTTGGAGAAAGTTTCCCAGGACTTCAACTCTATGAGAGCAGTCCCCAAAGGTTTTGAATCACTGCTCATTCTCCACATTTCTGCAGACTACATGCAAGTTTATCATATCCCTATGAGCTGAAAACCAGCACAAGTGCAATATGACCAGCACAGTTCTTCCTCACTGTGCCCAAACCCAGCAGTGGGTTACAGGCCATCAACTCCTGCACCAGCAGAAATTATGCACTAGAGATTATGAGTGACTAGAAAAGGTGTTTGTTAAACATCTGTGAAGGATTTTCTGAATTATTTTCTGTTTGTGAGACCAAAGCATTTAATATTAAACAAATTCTAGACTATCATATAATCTGTTAAATGTCAAAAGGAATTTATAGTCTATATTAACAAAGTAAATATTAAGAGAAATGCAGCTCAAGGAGGAGTTTGGAGCATGAGTTGCTTTTAAGACTGGCTGTCATCCAGCTGAATAGCAGAAATTGCAAAATTGAAGAAACAACTTGCTCAAGATTTAAAAGTACATATTAATGTATGTAGAAACTTGCAGCTCCTTATCTGATAGTCACAAAGGATGCTCAATTTCCTCAGCAGAAGAAAAGAAATAGGAAGAGTGAAAATTAATAAACAGATTATTAGCTAGAAGAGAGAAGGCTGCAATAAGCAGTAGTTGGCAGGAAAATTAGACTGCTAGGGGCCAAGGAACCATCTTTTCCCAGTGTTTAAGGGCAGAAAAAAAAAGAGAGCTGGGAGTTAGGAAGTACTCACAGTGTGCATATCAAGTAAGCCCAGATGGTCAGAACCATGGTCAGAACCTCAGTAGTAAGATTTAGTGCCATGAAATTTTCTAGATTAGAGATTTTTAGTTGCTCTTTTTTTAAAGGACCAGCTTTGAAAAAAAATATCAGAGATATCTTTATCTCTGTTTTTGTCTACCACCTTCTAGTTCCTGATTTCCTCTTTCTTTTTCTTGCCATATTTTCTTTGACTTTTTGGATTACAAAGTATGTTTTCTTTCTTTTTTCATCTCAATACCTCATAGCTAAAATGTAATTTTTCACTTTTTCTCAGTTGTTATAATTTGTTTTTCTTCTATCCTTTCTCCCTCCTCACGTCTTATACTATCTTAATCTTACTTAATCATTCTTAATCTATCCCTTTTGTCTCATATCTCCTCTGTACTGTAATTGTTTCTCCTGAAGCTTCAGGTTTGAATGATGGAGGTTTGGTCATATTTGAAACAAGCATGAATACTACAAGAATTAGGGTAGCTGATATCAGGCTGTGACATCTGGATGAAATGTCCAGCTGCATGGAGAAAAGGAGATAAATGATAGTGGGTTGGAGGGGCTGCAAAGAAGACTTCAGGACCCAAGGAGGAAAAACCATGAGACGTGACAAGATGTCACATGGCAGAGTTTTGATATCATGAACTGGAGGTGTGGGAGAAGTGCTGGAGAAGTTCTTTATGAAGACTGTAGGAGTGCTGGGCTCCAGCGGGAACCCTACAAGGGAGAGATTTTCAGGAGTAATTCAAAGGTGCAAAGCTTCAGTGGCATGAATAACACAGGACTCTCAGCCATTCTAACTGTTGACCAGTATACCATGACCAGGACATGAGGAAATAAGGCCCTGATGGCCTCCTCTGCAGTGTTATCACTCTAGTAAGACAGTGGGATATCGCACATGGACAGCAGAGCTGTACATGTTAGCAGGTTTTAGCACAGGGTTCCTAAGACAGGACTCCTGTTCTACCACCCACATTCTCCTATGTCCGCTGTGGCAAACACATTTCCCATCACTCACATGGTGCAACCTGTAGTCTCACGAATTACTAGTTCATTTCACTCAGAATGTTTGCAATAACCTCTTATTTGATCACTCCTTGCACTATAGAACAGCACAAAATGCTGCTGCCAACCATCCCATAAGCTCCTATTTCTCCAGTGGCACTCACCCAGTAGGACTGCCCAAGTTCTCACCTGCCTGCTGAGGAGTTAAAGAATCCCACTGCTGCTTTCCATAGGTTCCTGTGGTCTGAGTCACCCCACTGAGCTGCCCAGTTCTTCATGCACCTTTGTGATAATCAGAAGGGCTGTGGCACAGCTGCAATTGCATGCTAATCCCTTCACTGACTATAGATAATGAATAGGTAAGAATGAAAAGACAGACACAGAAAAAATTCAAAACATATTAATTACAACTAAGGAGGTCATCATGTTAGTGTTTGTAGCTCCTATTACCACATGAACCAAGAGCTCTATCTATTAAAACATTTAGGAAAAATCAAGTGAACTGCTTGCTGGTATTAACACCATGATACAGCATGGGCCTAGATTTTTGCAGTGCTTCTCTCCCCTCTAGTTAATTTTCTTCCTCAAATGGACAATTCCATGAAGTCACTCCTCTTGCCTTAAAAAGGGACACTCCGAACCTGTAAAACCAAAAAGTGTTTTTAAATGCCCACATCTGCAGCTGTTACCTACATTCCTGAAATGCTTCAGTACAGCTCAGAGTCAGAGCATAGGAAGCATAGCCCATTAAGTGCTGAACCAGAACAAAACAATGCCAGCAGACAAAGCCACACAAAACTTCCCTGCTGGCCTGCAAGGACAAATGACAAGGATCTTCTGCAGGTGTTCTCCTGGAAGGTGGAACAAACACCCTGGCAGGTTCAGCAGAGAACACCTCAGTGGCACACTGAGAGTAAATGGAGTTTACTCTCAGTAAACTCTGTTAAACCAGCAAACCAGAGAACATCAAGGGAAGCAAAGGGGTATAGTTAAAGGCAGGAACAGGAAGAGAGAAGCAGGCTTCTTGAAATTTGGTGTCACCAAAGACTTGGATGGCAGGGGTAGGAACTCCATTTGCCGCTCTTGAAGGTGCCTGAAACCTCAGCTGTAAGATAAGCAGGTGGGAGAAGTAGCAAACACATGTGTCACTCCAAATGGGGTTGTCATAATGATAACCAGGGAAGCCTGGGAGGGAAGTAGAGCTGGGACAGAGGAAAGGCAATGCCAAGAGGGACCAGGTGACTCAGCAACAGAGATCACAAAGAGGGGAGCCCTTGATGAGCACCAACAAGTAAACAGCCATTTCAGCACACCAGAGGTTTGAACCCAGGCTGGAAATTGGATGAAGGTGTGAGGGCCTGGGAAAGCAGCTGGGGTAAGGACACAGCACCCCTAAGGGGGCTGAGGTCATCAGAGGTGAGCATAGGAGACCAAAGACAGCAAAAGATAAGAAGAAGACAAGGCATAA